CAGCAGGATCCCCAGACAGAGACAGCTTGATATCCCTTCCTCCAAGTTAGAAATAACATCCCTCTCCCATCCCATCCCAAGCTCGCTCCCTTCAGGGAGAATCTGCATTCAGCCCGTGCCAGATGCCCCAAATGCCAAGGTTTGTGAGGGGAATTTTGTGTCGGGGCCGAACTCCGTCCTGACCTGTCGGCGGGGGAAGCCGTCAGGCCGGAGGGGAGCTGCCGGCACCCCGTTTTCTCTGCCTCCGCTGGTCCGGGCTTGTGAAGCCCTGACTCCGGTCTTCTCCGGCCTGTATCATTTCCAACTGCAGGGGGAGATGTTAAATATCAAACCGGTGTTGATTGGATCAGAGACGGCCTCAAAGAAAGAAACCTTAGACCGTGCCAGATTAAACTTCACACTTCACCATTCTTCCCCTTTCATTTCTTTGCCGCCTCATTCTCTGCACAAATAAACCTCGTCTCCCTGCTTCCTACCAATGAGACAGCATTCAAGGGGCAGGAATGACTTTGTTAACAAAATCAGTCTTCATTTCCCAGGTCCTGCTGTTCCATCAAACCCTGGGACATGGCAGCTTTGATTACACTAGTGATAGGATTAGAGGGGCAACAAGTGCTGGTTAATAAAAGGCCGATGGGTGGTCCATCACGTTTGGTCACTGACAGATCTGCAGTCTTGGAGCTGGACCTTCGGTGGCAAAACAGCACGGAGCAGTAATGCATAGAGAGGGCCACGGCCGGGACTTGCTAGTCCATCTGCCCTGTCCACCTGAAAAATTAAACAGTTCTGTCATCGCAAAGCTGGGACTCTCAGAGCTGACAGGGACCGGTATAGCTGACTTCGAGGGAAATTTGCCTGTTTATACTAATGAAAGATCCATGCTCAAAGTTTTCCGAACTGGATTAAAGGGCTCCGTTTCAGAGTTAGTTGACTTTTGACAGTCTGTGTAGCTTATTTGAGGCAGTATTATTGATTTCTGTTTTTTCATTTTATTTTTTTAAATAGGAAAAGTGGTTTTTGTCTAATAGAACTTGTACCTTTTTGTTTTTAAAAAAATTCAGGCTTCCTGAAAAGGGCAAGAGTCATCAAAAATATTTTAGTATCATCTGTTTTGATTGCTGAATATTGTTGAAAGAAACATTGTTAAAAGTTTTGCTTATACATAGTTATACATAGCACACACAGTTTTCAGCTTGCTGGCTTTAATTAAACTTCACCCCCCCAGGGTAAAAAAAAATTCCCCCAGTAAAATTAACCTTGGGGTAGAAATTCATGGAGCAGCAGCAATAGAAATCCTCCCATTTAACTCCCTTTGAATACTAGTGGAGCTGCTTTATGTCTTTACTAGGGGAACTGCTGAGGGTGAAACCATGCAGGTATTAAAACTACAGTAGTCACAGTAACACCTGAAAGGATCAGCAGCTGACGTTTTATAGCTGTAACTAAC